ATGCGGAGTGTCTTGCACACACTCCGCATCACAGGCTAATTTTGAGCTATACAAATCGCCCTGAGCCTCTCCTTGCATTTCTATACATAGACAAACTTCTTTAACATGGAAACATTTGCTAACAATGGGAATTTGCATTCAGAGTTGACATCTTTTGGGCAGGATGCCATTTGCCTGAAGACACACCCTCCTCTGTGTGCAAGTTATCTCTAAACTCTTAAGAACTTTTTTTTACCTTTTTTGGTTTACTTCTTTGGGAATGAGACATTTGTACCAGTCGCACTGAGGCATTTCAAATGATACCAAACATGTATAATACTGTATGATAATTGTTCATAATTAAACCATAGACTTTTGGGTGAATTCAGGTAAGGATGGGTGAAGGGAATGATGTGTAATTTGGGAGGTGATCAGCTCAAGTGTGATCTTGTCTTGAATGGGGATGGTAATATAGCAAGAAAGTTCAAAATGTTACTTTCCTTTGTTTTCTCAGACAATAGCCCTCTCTTCCAGTTCTTCCAGTTTCTCCAGTCTTACAGCAACATCCATCATGTTGTTATTGTCCCGTGACCCATTCATAAATCTCGTGGCCTCATGGGATAGTAATGTGTCCATCGTATACACATTTCAGAATATCGGCGATAGTAGTAGGTCATCCGGGTACTTTTTGCCTATTTGAGTACTGTGGACATGCTTCTTTTGTCACATACTATTTTTCTCCTACTATATAGTAGGGAAGTGTGCGATTGACTCGCTCTCTCTGTCAAAATCGAGGGATCGAGGACCTGTGGAAAAAACTTCCCTCGTCTACTTGACGAAGTTGAACGCACTTCAAAAGGGCAGCAGGAAGAAGTTCACAAGTGTAAAAACAAGTGTTCACAAGTGTTCTTTTCCAGAACTTTAAGGCCACAATGGAAAGGTAAGTGTTCTGCCTCCTGTCGCTCTTCTCTGCTTGTGAACCCAAACCCATTGCAGAGTGCCCAGAGCCCACATCAGGATCCACAGATGAGTTCTGGAGCTCTGATTAATGTGGCAAATCACTTGGGAAATTGGAGTCTGGCTGAAGATGCGAGATGATGTCCAAAATGGCGAGTCTTTAAAATATCTTCTGGTGTTTATGACAGAGTAAATATGGGATGTGTGAACATCTATCTTGATTGTTTTGTCTCAACAGCTCCTGTGAATCTGGACCCCGACACTGCACATCCCGAACTCAACCTGTCTAATGATCTGACCAGTCTGACATGGACCATGAACACTCGACCATTTCCTGCTAATCCAGAGAGATTTGACATCTATCCTAGCCTGGGAAAACCCAGACAACTTCCGGCAAATTTAGATTTGCTCTGAAAGTTAGTCTGGCAAAGAGCTCATTCAAGCCAGAGACAATTTATATACAACTATATAGGGAAAACCCGTAACGCCAAAGATGGTGGTTGTATGCACATGCCCCGCCCCTCCCACTGAAAAACCAATCGTCTGCTTTTAACAGTCAAGCCGGGAAACATGTAAGCCTATCGTGACGTCTGGTTCCACTGACGCATGCGCACAGTTGAGGTTTGCGACAGCAGAGACGAGAACCCTTGCGCATGCGTAGTAAAGTATAACCTGTGGGGAAAAAGGCCTTTTAAACCTTATTTTGGGGCAAAGTCATCAAACTTTTTCAGCGATTTTTATCATATTTTACTGCTGTTTCTATACAAGCAATTTTTATGTCCTGGTGACCAGTGAAAGTGCAGTTCTGACTCTCTGCCCATTCATTTAGATAGGAGCCTGGTCTTGTTAGTCCGAAACATATATCCATAATAAAGGCTAGATGTCTCGTCCGCGCTGCTGGCCAATGGAGGTCGACGTCAGCACCTGGCGGCCATCTTGTCACAGGCAGCTCGCTCACTCGTAACATTGTTTTAATGGTGCATGTACTTTTTAAATAACCATAACTTGCTCAATTTTCTACCGATTTTAAAACGGTTTGGTTTGTTATAAACGTCAGAGATGTAGTTATGACACTGCACACTTATGAAAAATAAGTGTACAAATAAATAATCAACCAAAATTATCTAGCCACGTTAATAACGTTTGTAAGAAACCAAACCGTTTGAAAATCCGCCAAGATTTCAGCAAGATAAGAGTATTTGTGTTCTCACCATACATTAGTACCACATAGCCCGCCAGAAAGCTAGCCTGTGACAAGATGGCCGCCGGTGATGACGATAGAGACTCCGCCGTAAGACATCTAGCCTTTATTATGGATATCTATGGTCCGAAATAGCTGCCCGGAGGCGTTGCCAAGATGGCGGCCGAGGGGCATGACTTGCCTAAAAGGACTTTGTTCAAGCCCATTTCCAATCCGTCGAAATCGCGGCACCAATCAGAAGCGTTGGGGCGGGCTTTATACGATGGCGCTGGGATTTTGAAGCAGATTTTGTAGCCTTACAAAGATGGATGCCGCCGTCGAACATCACTCGTTCGAATCAGCTGTCGCGTCTGTTTTAAGCGATTTGAACGATTTCCTTTTTGTTAAAAAGCGAGCAAAGATCAACACTCGGAGATGTTTCTCCGCCGCTCTGCATACATCATCTCCTTCATCGCTCTGATTGGGTTTTAGGTCTATCCGCGACGTCCGTTGGTGACGCCCCTCTGGAAATGATTTGTCTATGACGCTTTGCCAGACCATAACTCACTGAGAATGGTCTGGTTTTAACCAGGCTACATCTATCCATGTGTCCTGGAGGCTTTAACTCAGGATCACACTGCTGGGATGTGGAGGTTGGGGGTAATACACAATGGACTCTTGGAATTACAACAGCATCCAACCAAAGAAAGGGATTTACTTTCTTTGACAAAGATGTCTGGTGTGTGTGGTACAAAAATAAAGAATATTTCTCACATTACCTAGAGCAAGCCTACACTCCCTCCCTTTAGTGCTAAAGAGAGACTTCAGAGTGTGGGAGTTCTGCTGGACTGGGATCGAGGAAAAGTGCCATTTTCTGATCCTCTAACTGACACTCATCTGTGCTCATTCACAACAACCTTCCTTTACTGAGAGAATCTTTCCATTCTTCTCATTTCTGGTCTGAGGATTCTACCAGTGAAAATATTTGTAACAGCCAAGCACAGTTATACTGTATATGATCTCCTGTCAATTCAAGTTTACCTAAAAATGTCTACAAAATTCACAGGTCATTAATTTTCAATCATTTAAAATTATGTAGCCTACATTAAAAAGTGCTTAATAAAGACTTGGATGTTTTTTTGTCATTAATTTAAGAGTTCAAACAAGAACATTTCTTCTTCATAAGAACAATTTTTATTATATTATATGTTTATATTATAATAAATATCTTATATTATAATATATCAAAGTGACTTTTAATTCAGAGCTTGAAACATATTCATCTTTGAAGAGTTGTATTAAAGTCTCCTTTTCTGAATTATTTATTACATTTTTAAATAACTTACCCTCATGCCCTATTCACTTAACAGCCCTTAATTGTTCGTTCGTGGACAAATGTGGGCACAGAGGTCTCTCAATTTTTTATTTATTATAAATGTTATATCACTGTCTTCGATAAAATTTATACTATCCATTTATGGTGTGGTTTTTTTTTTGGGGGGGGGGGGTATTTTTGAATTTATTTACCTCTAAAAGTACCACATTTGCTATGTAAATTATGCTTATTTTTATGTTATATTTAATATTTCTTTAACTACATTAAAAATGCCATTTGACAAAAGTCCAAGAGTTAAAACCTAAAGATGAAGTGTCTTTGCTGGCATCTGGTGTCTTATATTGGTATTAAATTAAGAATTAAATCAATACAGTAATATCAATAGACACTATAGCTAATAGTACTCAATGGCTGCATATAGGCTGAACTCTATGAACCACTGTATAAAATGAATTTGACCTCTTAAGTTTTTGACTATCACAAGTTAAAATTGTAATTAAAATATATATATATATATATCTTTGTTAGGTGAGACTATACAAAGATGCCAAAATATGCTTAGATAAAAGTAGTAGGTCATTTAGAGAGTCTGATGAGCCAGGTGGATGATTGGATCATACCAAAAAACATGGTCAGACATTGGCTCATTCAATTCTTTGTTTTTGTATGTGTGAGTGAATTTTTATTTTAAAAAAAACAAACAAAAAAAAACCCCAGCTCTGTCATAGGCTCATTGAATGCATTGTTTGTGTGTGTGTGTGTGTGTTGTGTGTGTGTGTGTGTGTGTGTGTGTGTGTGTGTGTGTGTGTGTGTGTGTGTGTGTGTGTGTGTGTGTGTGTGTGTGTGTGTGTGTGTGTGTGTGTGTGTGTGTGTGTGTGTGTGTGTGTGTGTGTGTGTGTGTGTGCATGAGTGAGAGTTTTTGCCATGTTGAGAATGTTGTACAGGATCAGCCCTTCGTTTGTGTGTATGTTAGATATAGCCTACATTGTATTGTATTGGATTTTTTTTCTTTTTTTTCACAAAAAAACAACAAGAATGCTCTGAAATTCATCCCATTCATTCCTATGGGTGCCAATTTTTGTCCATGTATTTTTCTTTTTTGAAGTAATCCCAATCAAATTTCAAGCAATCTGAAGTGTGTCAGCTGAAGGAAATAATAAATTATTGTCGGCTTTAATATATCGGCCAAGTTTTCTTATCGGGCCGATGACGATAACATTAAAAATGAACACAACTTATCAGCTGATATGTCGACAGATATACTGATATGGTGCCCGATATATCGTGCATCCCTGTGTATAGGCTATTTATTATTTTAATCATTTTAATCAAATTATTTATGGATTTATTTAGTTCAATAACATTTTATTACAATCTTATTATTTATGTATGTTTGCATTTTTACGCTGTTTCTCCTCTAAACTTTTGAAAACCCCTGGACCAGAAATACAGTACGGAACGTTCATCCACATACAGTTTCTACACGGGTCCTATTGTTGTAACACGGACGACAGAAAGTTCCATCAGCATGGTTGTCTCATGGTATAGTTGTGGATCGTTCTTATAGTCATATTTGCGTTTAACGCTTTTAAGTTAATATATTCTCAAATAGTATATATATTTTCCATATATGTTTACTATTGTCCGCGCTAAAATGCATGTCGCATATCTGCGTTAATGATAGAAAGCTACGAAATAACATGTGAACAGACAGTGATATTTATTAGAGCCAGTGCGTGCTCATTATAATAACAGAAAAGCTGAACGACACCCTAGTGTTTTATCACTCAGGTTACCTAGATCAAACCTAACGATGTCTAAAGTTAAGCCGAATAAACATGCTGCTAGTGTTCAGACTAATGGTCAAGCAAAGCATACTAAGAAGAAAAAGAAACCTGATAAGAAAAAGACGTTCTTCTACCACACGAAACCGGTTGTAAATAAGGAAAAAACAAAACCAAAAACTGTGAAGCCAAACATTATGCCCCCAACAGAAGTTCAAGAATATTCCTGCAACTGGAAGAACTTATTGCAGGTAAGGGTAATTTTTTTTACCATGGTACAAGTACATTGAATTCCTGTACGACAATATGCTCGAGCAATTCTGAATGAGAACTGCATCTTATGTCTGTTTTTACCATGTCTGTGTGTGTGTGTGTGTGTGTAGACTCTCGCTCCAAATCCTGAAAAGAAGGATGAAGGCACAAAACAGACGAAAGATGCAAGTGTTAAAGGAAATCAGCTTCAGAAGACGCAGTCAGTTTCCAAAGACTCTCGTAAACCGGATAAACTCTTCAAAAAACCCTCACAGACTGTCAAACCGGCCTCTGAGAGTTCTGGAAGAGCAGAGAAAGATGGAGATCAACAGAATGGAAAAGACCCTGCTGGACACAAACAATTTAAAGCAGAGAAGAGGAAAACAAAGGATGAAAAAGAGAAACAATCGAGCAAAAAGAAGAAAGTCGAGGAGGTGGAAAAGAAACCTACCGCAGAGTATGGCTAGATTTTTTGTATTGCCTTTTCCCCTTTCACACATTTTAGCAATCATCATGAATTAGGTTTCATTTGAAAGCTTAAACACTCAAAATTCATCCTGTGAAAACACTTTTGAAATTGAACATTGCGCCACCATGGAAACTGGGATTCCCCAGTGGGTGGTGTCATGTTTCACATTTTACAAAATATACTGCACTATTTTTTAATCAAATCTTTTTCTAATCTTGGCAAAATGCATCATTGGAAAGCTCTAAGAGTCAATGATTCCATATTCAGCCACTGTGATAGAAGTAATATTGTGACACTGACAGATATGTATTCATTTATGACAGGAGAAAATCAGTGGAATGTGGCTATTATTGGTAGAGGACCTCAACAAAATCTCATAAGAACCATAATCTTTGTGATATCAAATTTAAAATTGGAACACAACCTTAAGACGCGTGGCTTTGATTTTATAACAAATTTAGAGTCCAAATTGTTTGTGAAATATATATTTTGTATAAAATATAGATGTTTAGTACAGTACATTTGTTAAACCTCTATGCTTTCAAAATGTCTTCTTAAAAAAAAACACCCAACCTTAAAGGGTTAGTTCACACAAAAAATGAAAATTATCCCATATTTACTCACCCTGAAGCCATCCTAGGTGTATATGACTTTCTTCTTTCTGCCAAACACAAGCAGAGTTATATTAAACATGTCCTGGCTCTTTCAAACTTTATAATGGGAGTGAATAGAGCCTGAGCCTTTTTGATACGTCGGGTCAGAGGTCACTCTTCGGTCGGAATCCAGTGATTATAGTTTATAAAGTTATAAATATGGATATTTTTCTTACAAAAACGTATCACATTGCTTCAGAATGCCTTAATGAAGTCGTATGGATTACTTTTATGATGGATGGATGCACTTTTTTGACTTTCAAAAGTTGATAGCATTCACTCCCATTATAAAACTTGGATAAGCCAGGATATTTTTTAGATATAACTCCGATTGCATTCGTCTGAAAGAAGAAAGTCATATACACCTAGGATGGCTTGATGATGAGTAAATTATGTGATCATTTTAATTTTTGGGTGAACTAACCCTTTAAGGCTGGTCTTTTTTTTTTTTTTTTAAGACATTTTGAAAGCATAGACGTTTAGCAAATGTACTGTACTAAACACAAAACATCTATTTTACAAAACAATTTCGGTTCTAAAAAAAATGATTTCTGTATTCCAAAGCATTCATGAATTACAACCATTTAAGTTCAGTGCATTTTCATGTCTATGCAGAAAAAGGGGTTAATGCTGCTTCATTTTTCAAGTGACGGTCCTCTTTTATCACTCTGTTTCCTCTCAGGTCTGATATCTGGTTTGATGACGTGGACCCTGATGACATCGAGTCCGCCGTGGGGGCGGAGGCCGCAGACATCGTGCGAAAGCGGAACGGGATTCTGAAGTGCAGTGCAAAAACCACAGAGGAATCGCTGGTGAAAGAGCATGCGTTTGAGGGGTGAGCGAACGCCTGTCAGTGTGATTCCCGGCGGCAGGAAGTGATGTAAACTAACCGCTGTTGTTGTGATTTCAGGTTGACCCGCGCTGTTGCTATGGACTGTGAGATGGTGGGGGTCGGATGTGACGGGGAGGACAGCATTCTAGCACGCGTCTCGATCGTCAACCACTTTGGGAAGTGCATCTACGATAAATACGTCAAACCCACGGAAAAGGTTACGGACTACCGGACGGCCGTTAGCGGTATCAGGCGGGCGGACATTGAAAACGGTCAGGACCCCTCATAATAGAAATAACTGCATGGATTTTCTCTATTGCATTTGAAAAATACTATCCGTTTGGTTGAATGGCTGTTTGTATGGGATAAGAATGGATTAAGAAACGAAAAAAGTACTTCTCGAAATTTTGAGGTAACATTTCGCAATTGTGACTTTCTCAGAATTGCGAGTTTGTAACAGTTCTGACTATTTCTTAATTCTGAATTTATATATCGCACTTTTGAGCTAACATTTCACAATTTTGACTTTTTTCTCAATTGCAAGAGTGTAACGCAGTTCTGGTGGTGTTTCTTGTGATTTTGAAATTAAATCTCTCAATTTTGTTATAAAATCTCACAATTTTGACTTTTTTCTTTAGAATTGCAAGTTTACAACAGTTCTGACTCTCAACTCTGAATTTATATATCACAATTTTGTGTTAAATCTCACAATTCTGACTTTTCTCAGAATTGCAAGTTTATGTGGTATTTCTCGCAGTTCGTGAAAGTTTATATCTAAAAGTTTTGTGTAAAAATCTCAGAATTCTGAATTGAAATCACATAATTCTGACTGTATTACTCATAATTCCAAGTTTATATTTTTTTTCCCTCAGAAATTCTGAGTTTACATTAAAAATTCTTAATGTTTCATGAACTAAAAGCATTTTGTGATCCAGACAGACCAGGGTGTCCGCGGGGTTTTAAAAAGTATTAAAAAGTGATAAATCAAAATTGTCAAATATAAGGCCATTAAAAGTGTTAAATGTGGTCTCAGAGGTATTATTTTTTCCAAGTTAGGTATTATTTTTTCAGACTATCAGGTGTCCAGGGCTTAATAATCCGGTACCGTGCCAGATCTCCGGCGTTCGGCCGTGAGGACAAAAAGAAAAAGGGGAACTTGCATGCGGTTTAATATTTTCGAGTCAATTGATTTCACCTACCAATCATATGAGAGGAACGCAGCTCTAACTAACGTTACAAGCCTATCAGAAGCAGAGCAGGGCGGGTCCTGGCAACACACTGTGATTGAGATCCATACGTCACATTAGCGTCGTCGGTGAAAGCATGGAGCGCAAGTTCATGAAGCCTGGGGATGATGTCCTACCCATGGGCGTAATTTCCTATGCGGACAAGGGGGACACTTTCAAATTCGTTTTTTGTGATTTTTAACCGCACGCCGTCATTGCCACGGAGGAGCAGGACCGAGCCTGTGTAAAATAGCTCACTGAAAGTTCTAATGAGCAGGTATACCGGTTGCGACCATAGACTGTAAAAAAAAATAGATTGCGACACAGTCAGTGATGAAACGCCAGAAACAACAACAGGTGACGAATGTCATCATGGATGAAAAGAAAGAAAGGAGATGTGAGTTGCTTGATTCAGGAAATTAGCTCAGGTCAGGATAATTTCAGACTGTTAGCTAAATATTTAATGTAGAACATTACTGTGTAGTGACTAAAAAAACATTCGGTGTAACGTTAGGCCTACGTTACCATGAAAACGAGTCCACTTCAAACCGCAATATTTTCTGTCAGTAGGCTAATGTATGACAAGTGCTGACAGCAACGTTAACTCATGCGATTCATTTTTGTCCAGCTTTGCAATTAACGCAGGAATGCACCCGTTCTTTCTGTCATCCTTTAGCTAGGATTATGATCACGCTCTTATTCACGCAAATGCTTTAATGCGCGACAGTGACAATACGCGCTGTCAGTGAATGTCCTCCTGACACACGACGCACAGAAAGACGCGCGCCAGTATCGAGTTCTCTTTCGCGCTTGAACGAACAATAACACACACACATTTATGCCAAAATGTCCGTTTTGTCGAGTATCCTCACAAGAACCGTGCTAAATGAGTTAAATAAAATCTTAAATGGAAGTAAATAGTAGTGAGAGAATGTGATGCGTGAGATCCTGTCAGCAGCGGCAGATCTTAAAGTGACAGGAGCCATTAATTCTGTCTGTCAGTAAAGTTAACCTAAAGAACAGAGAAAATTACTCGCTGCTCTTGACTAAAGAACGCTTGTAGCTTTGATAAGGATTAATCTATATTTCATTTATAATTTATGCAGTGCGGACTGTTTTATAACCATATTCAATTTCTGTATGGCACAGGTAAATATGACATGTATTATGGGTTTAAGAGAGGATTGTTTTAAGTTCACTTAAATTATAAGTTTTTATATTTTTTGAAGCCTAATAAATGTTTAAAATTTGGGGGGAAATCATTTTCATCGAGACATCAGTAGCTATAATATTAGTAATACTGACATCAGTCTCTAAATCTATTATTTTTTGTATGTTATATATGTCAAAATCTGTGTAAATAATAGAAAGGTCGCTGATTAACACTTGCAATTCAGTGTCGTGATGGTTTAAAAAAAAAAATCTGAAGGTAGTAAAAAAGGTATTAAAAAGTAGTAAATTTAACTTAAGGATTGCTGTATATACCCTGCAGACCCTTTATTTGTGTTTTGATTGTTCTTTACGTGATTGACAGGTGAGGACATCAAGACAGTCCAGGAGGAAGTGGCTCAGATTCTGGAAGGAAGAATTTTAGTGGGACACGCCATTCACAATGACTTAAAGGTACAGTACACACAACAGAAAGGCTGCTGTCATGCTCATATCATTCCTGCATGCTTTTGCTGAAATGTTTGACAAGCTCTAAAAAAGCACCATAAAACTAGTCCATATGACTTGCTATATGGACCATTCTACAGAATTTTCTTTATTTTTTGACAAATTTTTTATGTATGCAAATTATATAATATCCAAGGTACACATTTCTAGTAATTGTGCAGTTAATTATCATATTGTATTTTCAGAAAGTTGGTTCGGAAAAGCCCCTCCCAATTATAAGTACCCAATAAATGATGATTTTATACATATTTAGCTTACTGACATTTTAAATATTATTGTGGGATTCAATAGATAATAGAAGGATCTTTGTAAACATCGAAAATTTGAATACTCAAATTCTTTTTAAATGTGTTTTTTGTTTATGGGACAGCAGTTCTGTAGAATGGCCCATATAACAGCATATTGGATTGAAATGGCATGAGGGTGAATAAATAATGATATTTTTTGTCTTGTTTATAGATTTTGTTGTTGGGTCATCCCAAGAAAATGATCAGAGACACACAGAAATACAAACCATTTAGGCAGAAAGTAAAGGTATGAATCTTAAATTAATATATATATATATATATATATACTATGTTAAGTGCAATTACTGACTTCAAGTTATGTTCATGTTTACTGTCTCCCCTCTTGTCCTCTTCCTCAGTCCGGATGTCCTGCATTGCGGGTTTTATGCAAAGAGATTCTCAATGTTCAAGTCCAGCAGGGCGAACACTCATCCGTAAGTCTCCAATGAAAACACTCTTCTCCGTTATTTCAAATTACTTGACTCGACCGTTTCACATATATAATTTAAGTTATAAGGAGTTTAGGCCGTCACAAGCACTAGCGTTAAAGAAGTCTGTTCTGCTTATCAAGCCTGCTGTGTTTATTTTTATCAAAAAAACAGTAATAATCTCAAATAACTGAATATTTTTTATAATGTAATTTATTCCTGTAGTCTAAGCTGTATTTTCAGCATCATTCCTCCAGTCTTCAGTGTCACATGATCCTTCAGAAATCATTGTATTGATTTGCTGCTCAAGAAACATTTCTGATTATTATCAATGTTGAAAATAGTTGTGCTGCTTAATTTTTTTGAAATAGAAATCTTTTGTAACATTATAAATGCCTTTACTGTCACTTTTGATCAGTTTATCAGTGAATAAACGTATTCACAAAAATCTTACCGACCTCAAAACTTTTCATCAGTTACTGTCAGCCAAAATCCCCTAAGATTATTTGCAGTTGGTTGCAAACCCCCGTATAATTATTACAAAGTGTTTTGTGATCGTAAGGTACACCTGGTGGTTTGATTGTGTTGTTGAACCCTGCTGTGTGTGTGTGTCCTGTTGGCTGAACTCGCAGGTTCAGGACGCTCAGGCCACCATGAGGTTGTACACTATGGTGAAGAAGCAGTGGGAGGCGGAGCTTAAAGCCGTGCGGGCGGGAAAATATAAGAAGAGTCCACGAAAACCCAAAGCTCCTAAAGACCACAGCAAATTAACTCAGATCCGCCAATAAAAACTCTTCTCTGTCGTCGCAAATCTCAACAGACTGAAGCGGTACATCGATCGGTGACATGGATTGTTCTGGAGTTACACAATCTCGTCAGTTATGTAATGATGAACTATTTAATTAACTGTCTCTCTACTGTTCAACTGTTTCTTGATTTCAAGTTTGAACTCCTTATTTGAGGAATCAGACAGTCAAACCGTTCAGATTTTCAGGTTATAAGTGTGACTGTACTATCAAGCCCTTTTTATGCCAAGTTATGTAGTTTTTCATCCTGTATAAAATTTCAGTTTTCAGTTTGAGCTCCTATTAAAGTCCTGCAACTGGATGTGTTGTGCTGATGTATTCTGGGAAATCACGTGCTGGGGTGTTCAAAGAGTCAGTTTTACTTTGAAAACATTGTTGAATACATCTATAATAATGACCTTAAACTTGCTGATTGGTAGTCTTACAAGTAATCATTACACTGGTGGTCAAAAGTTTGCAATGTGTCTCTTTATGTTTTGAAAGAAGTGAAAAATACAGGAAAAAACAGTAACATTGTGTAATATTACAATTTAATAGAACTGTTTTCTATTTGAATGTTCCTGTGATCAAAGCTGGATTTCCAGCATCATTACTCCAGTCTTCCGTGTCACATGATCCTTCAGAAATCATTCTAATATGCTGATTTGATGCTCAATTATTATTGTTACCAATTTTGTTGCTTGATTTTTATGGTAGTGTATCATGAATTCCACAAAAATGTTACCACTGTTGGGGAAGGTTACTTTTAAAAGTAATGCATTACAATATTGGGTTACTGCCTAAAAAAGTAACTAATTGTGTTACTTAGCACAATTGTTATTTTCCACAAAAAAAAGTAACTTTCAAAACATTACTTTTGTGTTACTTTTTTTCACCTGGGCTTATTAAAAAGTTAATAAGCTGGAAACCCCCCAAAATTCATTTTGAGGAATACTGAATCTGTTTTTGAGCAAGTGAGATAAGTAAAAACATGTTTAGTCTAGAACTGTGAATACCCATCATGTTCACACACACAACGCCTCTGCACTTACGATTTCTTTCAACATTACGACAGGAGAGCTGTCAGTCAATACATGGGAAAACAAAGTAACTTGTGTTACTTATTTGAAAAAGTCATGCAGATATTTTGTTGTAAATTTAAAAGTAATGCGTTACTTGAAAAAAGTAATCGATTACGTAACTCACATTACTTGTAATTTGTTACCCTGAACACTGGATATTAAGCAGCACAACTGTTTTTAACATTGATAATATGATGAGCAATAAATCAGAAATTCATTTTTCATCAAATAAATGCAGCCTTGTTGAGCACAAGATGCCTCTTAATTATAAAAAAAAAAAATCACCCGCCAATTTTTTCACCCCCCAGTGTAAATCGTAATAGCTAAATTATACTTTAGATCTGGGAAGTTAGAAACTCTTACATTAAAACAACAAGAAAAGGAGGAGGTCAAAGACAGATGCCTTTATTTAGTTCATGAGGAAAACAGAAAAACAGTCTCAATCTCAGACCTTTTTGTACACATCATTGCAAAGTCAATTAGTTACATATCACTGATCCAAAACTAATACACATAGGGACAAGATCACCGCTAGACAGCTAATAACAAATATTCAAGTTTAGGTTGTGCGGAACAAAGTTTGGTGTTTCAAAATATCTTCCCTTTTTTCAATCAATAGCTACTGTGTTTGTCAGGCCATACAGAAGCGTTTAGTTATGGATATTGTGATTATTGAGATCCCAAGACTAGAAAAGTATACTTTCAATATCATAGTGACTCTACACTCTACAGATATAGTCCTCTACAGATGGACTCAGGCTATTGGAGGGATTGTACACCAATGTTAGTGATAAATAATGGTGTGTTCAAGTCCTGCCGGGAAGTTCGTACGAGTTGGGAAGTCGTATTCGCGACGTCACGTGCGTATAATTCACTTTCGTCGGAGTAAGATGGCGGTGTTCCTTCTCTTAACTAACAACACAAAAACACAGCAAGGTTTTTAACTCTACTTCAGGAAAATTAAGAACAAAATGTGCATCAGGTGTGTTTTGCTTTTATTATTTACTTTATCGTTACATATGAATGTCATATTACAGTGCTATCATTGTGTGCAGGCAATTAGCTTATTTTGTTGTAAATAAAAAAGCCTGACAATCTTGCTTCTAAAAACCTTTAAGTATTGAGATATTCCACTCGTATTTACAAGTTTGTGGTGGCGTTCATGTGCCTTCAACTCATAAATACGATCTTTCCGACATCACTTGAAGTTCATTCTTTCAATTTATCTAGGTAGACATGAGATTCAAGCTGGTTTGTGTGCTGGTGGAGATTTAACTATATAACAAGTCTCAGTAGTATTATTGGAAATCATTTTACTTGCTAAACATACAGTTCATGCAAAGTTTTGCCTTTTAAAAATTGAAACTTGAAAAATTTAAAGCATTTCAAGGAAGCATAAGACCGATTATAAGGATGAATCTCACGAACACACTCAGGTCACAATTTACCGCAAAATCAAAAGGAAAAAAAGATTTATTTTGCATTAATGAAATAAATTTTTTCTGCAATTGCGACCATAATTGAGCAAATTCTCATTACATATAACTAATCCCTGTTGTTCTTAATGCAATTCCAAATTTTATAAATGTATTTTAAATAAACAATGTGCTTAAAAAGTTACACTATGTAACTTTTTTTGTTCAAAAGTAACAAAATTGAAATAAAGAGAAATCAATACATTTTTCAGATTTCTGAGGAAATTTTGAGATATAAACTCGCAATTGAGAGAAAAAAAAAAGTCAGAATTGTCGCAATTCCCTTTTTTTATTCCCTGGTGGAAACAAGCCTCCTTAAGTAACAGCGTGAACACTAAGGTCAGGACAGGACAGAATGACCTCTGACCTCCACACTATAGTTCTTTTGTAACTTTGGCTTTCCTACCAGTGGTCAGTGTTGAGACTGGCTCAGATAGATAAGCAAACAACACGTCATCACAGCATCAACAAACTGAATCGTTTCTTATTCCGGAAAAGAAGCCCTTCTTCAGTGCAGCAACAGACAGATGGCTTTAGAAGACTGAAGACAGAACGTAAAGACACGCATCTCATCATTCAGAGTTACACTCACACAAGCTTTTAAAGGAAACAAGCAGAAAGCGCAGATCAGACACTCTTTCACCAAATATGAAATAAAGACAGTGACAGTGAGCTTTTAGAGCAGCGCGTGTAGAAAAATTACATTCCACCATTTCTTACAAACAGCAAACATGCTGCAGCAAAGGATTCTGGGTAAAGGCCAGTTAGCAGAGGCACACAATACACACAAATACGCTAGTTTCTATCCCTGCAGTGGCCTTAGACACACCTGCAATCGCTGAAACACATTAGGACCATGCTTACTTACACATTAAAATACAAGTTTGTTTGCTCTTTTAAGGATCAGGGGCCATTCACACAGAACGCGTTTTTGCGGTTGAAAACTCAAAACGCAGGCTAGTGAAGTGGGGGGAAACACGTACTGCGTTCGAAAACTTAGGCAGCTGACTTGTTGCCTCGCTGCCTTACAGGTGTTGACTTTGCAGGTAGTGTTTGCGCACAAAGATACCTCACGAAACTGATTTCGGACAGACTTCTGAGGCGGTGTTACGGTTTAATGATCTACAGCAAAATACAGAGTTTCAAAGATACATAAACAAATGTTTAATGACTATAATAGTAATTTCTCACGAGAAATGACATCAAAAGTGATTGACCAAAGTTTAAAACGTACATTTACACACAAACTGACCACCAACTTCTAGACGCCATCTTTATCTTTTAGCTCAGCTGTCACAGAGTGGATTGTGGGATATCAAAGGCAGCGAAGGATACATCTATGCTGCCTTAAAGAGCAACATGCAGGTTGGACACCCCTATATAGCATAGTGTATGTTGATGATAAAACAACTAGATTTTCTGAACTGGAGTAATATATATTTAGCCATTAATGATATTTTGAGATAAATTGTGATAAATTAACTTCCGCGTCTATAAAGCACTAACCGGAAGTGACGATGGGCGAGGGAGTCTGGTCAAGTTCAAGCTCAGGTTACAATGGATGTGAATGAAGAAACCGAGTTCTCCGATGTTGACGAGCATGCCTATGGCCCACAGGTAGGGATGGGGGCGATCCGATCCAGTGTCGGTATCGGGACAGATACCAGTGTAATTCATGTAACGGATTTTCCCGATCCAACCTGCGGAGATATCCGATATCCTGCTGAAATGACTCCAAAAGTGATTCCCGCCGGCCAGTCTGCTAGCTGGCTGCAAGCTGTGGAATGGATTTCCTGAACGGAGGCGCGGCTCAATGAGACACAGAGACCCCCCCCCCCTCAGGAAATCCATTCCGCAGTTTGCAGCCAGCAAGCAGGACAGCATTGAGCTGTGTGTAAATACTTCACACTGGAAACACCGCAGAGCAAGACAGCAAAATGCAATGTTTGCAAATCCGTATTAATTAAACCATCTGTCTGTGATGCAAAAAATCTCCATGTCTATAATTCTCCGGAGTGAAATGTGCGTTACAAACGACCGAGTGTGTGGTGATAGACGCGGCAGTGAAGTCTGCTCTCTTCACCTGCACAAAACGCACCCAAGAACGAAAAGCCTTGTTTTTCCTAGAAGGAAAATGATGGACACGATGTCCTGACAGGCTGGAATTCGTGCAACCAGCACAAACACAACAATTTACCATTATGGCATCTCTAAAACTCGATCTAAAACTTTCTCTGTCTCTCACTACCGCTCTAACTACAGCTGACCGCGAGCTCTTGTTTGCCTCGGGCTACGTCATATGACGCGTTGCTAGCGGGAAAGGCGTATTCCAGAGCCTAGCACATTTTCATCAAAATCTCTACATCAAATGAGATTTCATTAGTAATTTCTACATGCGTTTTTAAAAGACCTCTTCAGACAATATCAAGTATTAATTCAGTTATAAATTCAACATGCACGTTGCTCTTTAAAAAATCCATCAGATGAAGGTATCTCAGGAGACAGGAAGTGCAGCTAACACTGGATTCAGATGTGCCTTGCTTCACTACCTTAGAATTCACCCTCCGAAGGCAGCATTTTTACGTTTTCAGACGCAGCCAAGGTCTAGAGATGCGATTTTTAAAAAGTTGAACTAATGCTGCATTCACGTGCTATCGGAATTATCGTAAATACGAGTTTCCTAGTTAAAAATTGGACATGAGTGCCCTCTCAAGTCTTATTTACCACTGGGAAGTTCTGGGATAACTTAGAGTTTCCGAGTTAGG